TTGCGTAAAACATTTATACTTACCGTATTAAAATGTTTCGTTCAGCATTAAACTATTAAATTTGCGAAAGAATGTTTCAGAAGTTTTACAAAACAAAATTTGAGTTTGTGGGTCATTCCAGATGACGAACCAAATTTAATTAAAATTCATGTATTATTTATTAGTCAATTTCAGTTAATGAATTTTTGCATAAATTCATTTAATTAATTTATTTTTAATGCCCAAATTTAAACTATATCTATTTTTATTGGTTTTTATTTTTACTTTCTGGCTTTCTTCCTATTTAAAGCGTCGCCCGGCTAGTTGAAATGGGCACTAATTTGTTCGTGTTTTTTATGTGGGCCCTTGGCCAAAGGGAAGGGGCCCAGGGCCCTCTACTCTGCCCCGGCCATAAATCCCCGAGTCTAACGAGGTCGCACAAATTCGAAAAGGCCCATGGGGGGCCCAGGGCAAGGACCCACACACCGGAGTGCTACTCGCTTCCGGCCACAATGCTTCACAGAGAGTGTTTTTTTGGTTTTTAGTCTGCCCTCATTTAAATACCGTACCAAACCGGTTTTTTCAAATTTTCTAACGATTTTTTTCTACGTATTATTTATTGTGATGCTTTATAACCTTCATTTCCATGGATTTTAATCGCCTTGGGGTTTCACTGCCGTAAAAATTTGAATTTTTAAATTAAATTAATTTGTAAATTTTAATCGACCCGAATTTATTTTTGTCCATTCGACTCCAGCCTTGGGCTCCAGTAGTGATGTTTCAAAAAATTTCTGTAAAATGGTTTTCGGTGAAACATCATTTAAACCAAAATTGCAGCCGCGAGATGCTGGCTTCCAGCGACTACCATTTTTTGCTTCTTTTATTTAGCTTTGAGTGCCTTAAATCTTTGTATGATTAAACTTTCAAAATTTTGTCGACTTTTGATGCAACATCAAATTTCTGCCGGAGTCGGATAAATCGAATGCAAATAAAACTTTCGCAACTGCCCATCTCAATTCCACTCCCCATCCCGTCATTTGTTGTGCGGTGTAGCCGGGAGATTTCTTGGCCGTTCCGCGGGGCTGGCGGGAAGGTCTTGTAACTGTCAGCCGGGGAAGATGGATCACTTCCCCTCCCCTTTAGCCCCAACCCCCCGATTCGACACTGACAGCCGTTCCCCACAAGTGTGTGGGGTACGGTAGTACGCTCGATCCTTTCGACGGATTCCCAAATAATCTCTGCTAGCCTGCCCTCTCCTCTTCCTCAACAATCTCGGCTAGCCTGCCCTCTCCTCTTCCTCAACAATCTCTGCTAGCCTGCCCTCTCCTCTTCCTCAACAATCTCTGCTAGCCTGCCCTCCCCTCTTCCTCAACAATCTCTGCTAGTTTGCCCCTCATTTCAAAGCTTACCGGTGATTTAGCAGTAAAATTCATTGTTTACCGGGACCCTTTAAGTGTTCGTAATATGATAAAAAACAATGTTTCAAAAAAATCAATCTATTTAAGCGACGGCGAAATGGTAGTAGATCGACAACGTAAAGCTTTTACTAATTTTTGTAAATTTAGCAGTGTAGGTTACATTTTTCGTGATTTCAACCCAAAAGATGATTCAGCAAAGTGGCATAGTTTTTGCTTCCGGTCGTTTTCGGTGAATCGTGATTTGAGACCATTCTTCCAGTGCGTTACAATTCTCTTTGGAACACAGTCCGTTCTATGAAATTTTGATTCATCTTCCATGATAAAAATATACCCGGCTTAGGCTTATGATTATTGGGCTTTGGCTTTGGCTTAGCTTAGGCTTCGCTTAGGCTTGGCTTACGTTTGGCTTACGTTTGGCTTAAGCTTAGGCATGGATTTCGGCTCAGGTTAGGGTTAGGCTTACGACCGTCCCCAGCCGTAGTACAGCTGACGCCACCTTGTTTCATCATTTTTCCACTTCCCAGCGCGTACCTGGAATAGAATTTGGCAAGTGGCCAATTCCGGGGCCCGTTTCCCCGGGCCATTTTGGCCGTTTAAGCGAGGGGGAATACCCCGGGGATACGGGCCAGGGTTGAAATGCCGATAATCTGGTGCGGGGGCCGTCCCCCTCCCCGTCTTGTCCAGTAAAAATCCCCCCGGGACCCAAAAACAAATGACCAAGTTGTCCGGACGAGGCCCAAGGAAGCGCTCCCAAATACGTATGCTTTCCGTAAGCTCCTGTAGCTTTGAAGACGCTAAGGATCTCTGCTAGCCTGCCCTCTCCTCTTCCTCAACAATCTCTGCTAGACTGCCCTCTCCTCTTCCTCAACAATCTCTGCTAGCCTGCCCTCTCCTCTTCCTCAACAATCTCTGCTAGACTGCCCTCTCCTCTTCCTCAACAATCTCTGCTAGCCTGCCCTCTCCTCTTCCTCAACAATCTCTGCTAGACTGCCCTCTCCTCTTCCTCAACAATCTCTGCTAGCCTGCCCTCTCCTCTTCCGCAAAAATTTCTGCTAGCTTGCCCTCCGCAGATTTTCATCAGTTTACCGAAAATAAGAATGCAAGAATTTTATTGCAGTAAAATTTACAAAGCGATATCGACAAGGGATTTTCGATCCTTTTAAAGGTAAATTGCGGCATAAATAATACCGTCTACGCTGATATATTTTCGAAAATTTCCACCTTTACCCGCTTATGGCATGGAATAAAAAAGTTAATTAAAATCTGGGTTAATAATTTTTTGAAACATTTTTTAAAACATTGGCCACCTATTGTAGCATTTCTGTCGTTCTCTCTCACTCTCTCTCTATCTCTCTCTCTCTCTCTCTCCCCTCTCTCTCTCTCTCTCTCCCTCGCATGCCACCAGCTGTGTGCCCCAACAGCCGTTAGTCATAATAGTGTGGCTAGGTGCCGACACCTGAGCCACTTTTCGGCACTTTTTGAAGTTCCCAGTGGCCGGTCTTGCTAGAATCAAGTCTGGTCTATAGCTAGATTCGTATTTTTAATTCCTTACCAGGGTTGAAAAGCCGCTTCGCGACTTTTCAACCCTGGCCCCGTCTTACCCCCATGCTCCACCACTTTGCATAAACACCTGCATTCCTGTGCAGAAAAAATGAAAAGCGCGTCCTCTCCACCATTATATAGGCTCTCCCCCTTCCGGTGCATGCAAATTGATTCCTAACAAAGAGGCCGAGCGCGATTTTCACAAAAACCTGTTTTTAATGTCGAAAATAGCAGATTTTGAAAAATCTTATGTGCGTGCAGTCGTGTCATGACCATTACGCACCTAATGACGTATCATACGTACCCTTAACTTCATCCTTTATTGAGATACGACTGGAACATACGGACGGAAGTTGCATGTAAATGCACACACACACACACACACACACACACACAAACACTATTTTTTTATATTAATTCCTTATTATTAAAATCATAAATTCCTTCATGTGTATATTTTTGGATATGGATTTGGAATTTTTTTAATCCGGATTTTGCCTGTCGAAAATAGGACGCATGGGTATACCTGACATTTATTATCGGGGTTTTCACTACGCTGCTACCTTAATTGAGACGAAACATACTTTTTGCTAAACTGTTCCGACTAACCGGACGTACCATGACCTTATTAAATTAGCATAGAAGCACCAGCATTATAATTATTTATTGACATTACATTATTTCGGCAAATTATATTATTCAAGGGCTTTTTCTGCGCACTACTAATTTTTGGGAAACTTCATTTTTTTTTAAAAAGGCGTTTGTTAGAGACAAAAACAAGATCAAAGATCTTTCTTAGTATCGATAACGCCCGGGCCTTTCCGTCAAGTAATTCATTTTATTAGAGTTGTATTTATCAATACAGTGAATTTTTCTAGATACTAGGCTACATTTAATTAATTACCGAAAGCATGCTCATACACTAACTTTTTAAAACATTTTTTCAGAAAATTCATGGCTTCCACAAATTTGATCCCTCCTTGCTTATAAGCCCCAATTTTATTTATACCTCTATTTTTCTTGACATTTTTCCTATTATATTTTTCTTTCTTCCAATTTCTTCAGCAACCCTCGAAATCATGGTGCTATTTTGCTATACTCAACGAATAAAATAACATCCAATTAGATATCAATAAATTAAATTGTATAAATAGATTGCTAGGTAGTTTTTGTGAGAAATGAGGAGACCAGTTAAACTTTTATACGGGTGTAACTATGTTTAAAAAAAAGTGAATTTGTTCGAAACTGAACTGAGATATACCGAACTGAGATTAACACGAATTCGCTGTCCCATCTATCCACCGCTTTTTGAAACATTTTTTTTACAAAAGTCGAAATATTTAGTGCCAATTGCTTTTTTCTCTGTTTTTCAGGCTCAATTCTATTTGTATCGCTTTTTCTACAGTTTTCCTATTTTATTTTCCCTTCAAATTCCTTCAATTACTTCAGCAACCCCCTGCAAATCATGGTGCCGGTTTTGCGGTGATGGGGTCCGGCGGCTGGCCTCGGGCATTTTTGTACCATTTCTGCATTATTTGCATAGGCTTTTGGGGCCAACGGGTGGCCGGATATGAGCTTTATGGTGAGTTTTGAGCTCAGGAATTGGAAAGCGTTAAAAAAATACACGAAATTTGCTCAAAAAAAATGTGTTTTACGAAAAATCGCCAGACCCGGCATCTACAAATAAAATATCTGAATCGCTTATAGCCATTGCTAAAATATAATGAATTTCTAAAAAGTTTTAGAAACCTAAAACTTCAAAAAAAATAGCAATTTAAACCAATCTAAAAACTTCACAAGATAAACGATTCAAACCAAAAAGTAGTATCACTGACAAAAAAAATGGAGAAGACCAAGTTCGAGAACATTTTCGGTGTTCAACCTATAAAATAGATGAAACATTGTTTCATTAAAAAATCGGCAGTCTTAGGATGAATAAGGAGTAACCCGGTAAAAGATATTAAAATACTTCCCGTGGTAAACATATTATATGAGTAAAACATTTATTTTTACAGCAAAATCTTCCAAGTAGTTTGACTTGATAAAATTCCAGGTGTTAGGATGAAAATTAACCGTCTAAATGTGGAAAATGAGGTAAAGAAAGGTGCTAAAAAATTAGAAATGTACCAACACGATTGGGCCTTTAATTCGGTGAAACATAATAGCCCATGAAAGCGAAAAGACCGAAAATGATGAAAATTAGAAATTAGCGACCGCGTTTACGCCATTGATTTTCTAAAAGATTTTATTTAACAGAAAATTGATTAAAGTATTTTGATTTTAATAAAACTCCAGATTTTTCAGGCGCCATCCCGCGGCAAATCGAGTGCTACAGCTGCATGTCGCTGTCCTATCAGACCAATTGGAAATACCTCCAGAGCACTTATATATACCCAAAGGTATGTTTTTTGCTAATTTAATGAAAAACTCTGTTTAATATTCAGTATTTTAACGAAGGTTTATTATTGAATAAAAATATCAAAATAGCTAATGATTTGCAAAACTTGATGCAGATTAACCTAACTAGGGAAGTCCAAGACACCCGCAACACGAATCGGGCTGAAAATTTGCACAGTTATAGAACCGACCATGCTGATCATTGCCTCGTTTTCCGAATTTGCTACCGAGCTTAAATAATCCTACTATATATAAAAAAGTAGTGTCTGTGTGTGTGTGTGTGCCACTTTGCATGCAACTTCCGTCAGCGTGTCCAGAGGATATCTCAAGAGGGGAAGGGATGAAGCGGGTGTATGATGCGTCATTAGACGCGTAATGGCCTGTAGATGACTGCACGCACATCAGATTTCCTTAAAAATTCGACATCCTCTTTGTTAGGAAAAAATTAGCATATGCCGGAAGTAGGAGTAGCCTATATAATCGGGGAGAGGACGCGATTTTCATTTTTTGACATAACAGTGCGGAAGGATTATGCAAAGCGAGGCATATCATAGGGTTGGACGGGGCCAGGGTTGAAAAGTCGCGAAGCGGCTTTTCAACCCTGGTTAAGATATTAAACTTTTAAAATGCGCCAAAAACCCGCTACCCTGACCCTGGCTCACAAGAGCGGGTGGGGTTCAAGAGGTCTTTGGGAAGCATCCTTTCCAGAGCTTCGGTAGTCAACTGGTAAGCGCGTCGCTTCCCAGGTGGAGGGTCCGGGTTCGGACCCAGTCCGCGCGTTTTTCTTTTGCTTTTTGCTAATTTTGCGCCGCACATGTCGCGCGTGTCCAGATTGTGTTTTTTACTATACGCAGATGAGCCGGTTGCCGCCGTCGAATTACGGGATACCGGTTTTTAACAAATTTTTTACTAGTGTTGTTTTTTATGAACTTTTTTCATAAATTTATGATTTCGTTGAATTTCATTTCTAGGATGTACGTAAATGCGTGTGCAAAACACAATCTGGACACGCGCGACATGTGCGGCGCAAAATTAGCAAAAAGCAAAAGAAAAACGCGCGGACTGGGTCCGAACCCGGACCCTCCACCTGGAAAGCGACGCGCTTACCAGTTGACTACGGAAGCTCTGGAAAGGATGCTTCCCAAAGACCTCTTGCACCCCACCCGCTCTTGTGAGCCAGGGTCAGGGTAGCGGGTTTTTGGCGCATTTTAAAAGTTTAATATCTTAATTATTTAAGCTCGGTAGCAAATTCGGAAAACGAGGCAATGATCAGCATGGTCGGTTCTATAACTGTGCAAATTTTCAGCCCGATTCGTGTTGCGGGTATCTTGGACTTCCCTAGTAAATATCAGGTGCTAACACGCCATTAAGCCGCGATAAAGACGCCACATCCGATTTTTCAGGAACATTTTTTTGCAAAGCGAGAAAAATTGCGAAAATGAAGTTATCCAAAACAGGGAGCAACTATTTGTCGTTCTAATATTATCTTTTTACAATCAACGCAAAACATTAAGTTTTTTTTGAACATGCGTTTTCATTTTAGTCGAACTGTGTATTTTCAGGTATTCACCGATCGGTGTCGTGACCCTCAACAGGAACGGGCTATGCCTACTGTAATGTGCAGCAGCATTTGCATAAGTCTGCTTGAGCCCGAGATTGAAGCCGGTAAACTAGCAAAGATTGTTGAGGAAGAGGAGAGGGCAGGCTAGCAGAGATTGTTGAGGAAGAGGAGAGGGCAGGATAGCAGAGATTGTTGAGGAAGAGGAGAGGGCAGGCTAGCAGAGATTGTTGAGGAAGAGGAGAGGGCAGGCTAGCAGAGATTGTTGAGGAAGAGGAGAGGGCAGGCTAGCAGAGATTATTTATGCTGCTCCAGGCGTCCTCATCGGCTTCAAGCACATTCGTGGCTGTATGGACCGTGTCCTCCGGAATGGCTTCAACGAGACGGCCATCCGCACGCATCGATTTAATCAAAATGTAAGCCATATGCGACGACCATAGGGTGTTTTTACTCAGGCTGGCGTTTGGAAATCCGACCAAAACGACCGTTGGTCTTGTGCAGAATTTTTCGCAGATTCCAAATCCGGTTTCCAAATCTGCTGCCGACCTTTATTGAAAAATTTATTTGAGATGAAAATTAAGCTTGAAAATCGTGCTTTGACCTCTAAAACCGTTACCGAGTCAGTTTTAAGGCTGAAGATGGCGACAACTTAAAAATCGCGCAAAAAACCCTAGAATACTTGGTCTAAACCTCGAATTACTTTTTAAATAAAGGTCGGCAGCAGATTTGGAAAGCGGATTTGGAATCTGCGAAAAATTCTGCACATGAGAGGTATGGTCTCATTCCAAAACGCCATCCTGAGTAAAAAACACTTTATTATCTAGTCGAGCCTAAATTAAAGTATCGTCTATCAAAGGAACCCATTTTTCTGATGAAACCAGTGATTTCAAAACCAAAAAAGTCATTTTTTTTAAGTGATGTTAAATTCATCATTAGAATCGAATCAACACTCCCATATTCAAATCCACTCATCAACGCTTTGATTCTAGTGAATGCATATGCTTTCAAAAAATATGCTTCGTCTACCTGGGCCAATCCAGAAAAATACCAAAATTTACTTGGGATATCTCGTCGCAAAGAATGATTTTTGATAAGGATATATGTATTTAAATTTATGCTTAAAGATAAATTTTTGTAAATTAAAAATTTTATCACCAAATTTAGAATCAATGCCGGACGCTGTCCCGGGCAGCGCTCTTCAACCCGATCAAGGGCCAGGAGCAATACGCGCTCGGAGAGGTAGCTTTTTTTAATTTTTTTATCAGGGTTTTACTCAAACACATTTCAAAATTCTATTTTAATATCGCAGCTTATAATTAAAAAAGTACAAAACAAAATAACAATTACAGAAATAATAAATAACTCTCTAAAGAGATTGACAGGCGGGTAATTATCAAAAAATTGTCGATTGGTCACCTGTGTTTTTTGAGACCGATTTTTTTCTCAGAATTTTTTGTTAAATTTTATTAAAATTGTTTTTGTTTTAATTTGATTTTCCGTAATTTGAATTTATATAATCGAAAAGCTGAGTGATCCACCCAATTATCATAGATTTTCTGGCCGATACCTTTGATTTTTTTGAAACCAATTTTTTTCCAAAATTTGGCGTAGATTTTTAACGTTTTTTTAAAGCCGATTCTTTTATGTTAATTATCCAATTTTCAGGTGCAACTCTGTAGCTGCTACGGGGATCGCTGTAATGGCGGAAGCGCCGGGACGACGTTCCGCTTCTTTACCATCATCTCCATCGTGTTGATAGCCGGCTTTCTGCGGCCGCCCTGGCCGGATATTTGATTTTTTTTTTACCGGCTGTAGATGTCATCTTTAATTTTTATTTAAATCATTTAAATCTTAGCCAAAATATTCAAAAATTTTAATTTTAATGTTTCAAATATCTTTAAAAACTAAAAATTTCTTTCCAATTTAATTCCTCCGAATCAATTTCCATGAATTTCAGAAAAGGTAGATCGAGGCGTTTTCAATAAAATTCTAAAAATCCCGGTACCTCCGTCGGATTCAAATTAGTACTCGATTTTTGTCATATTTCCCTCCTTTTAAAGCAATATAGGTACGGTAGCTAGCAAAATTAACTTATTTTAAACTTACTTATCTTAAAAAGGCGATTTTCAAACTCAAATTTTTCAATTTCGGACCCGCGCTACCGTACCCTAGGTGTCGCTCAAAAACAAGGAATTTGTTTTAATCAAAATTTAATTAGTTTTAAATTTTGATGTCAAAAGTAATTTTTGTATTTGTTTTTTATGTTAAACTCGCCATTTTTGTGCACTATCACTTGTGACGGGTGACCCCAAAAACACAGTCTTTTCCATATTTTTTGTAATTACTGCCAATGCAGAGTTAATAAAGGTACTCGATTTTTTGTGAACCACACGCTATGTGTTGCTACAAAATTCAGAATAAGCCACAACTTCCCACGGAATAATAAAGAAGTCAGTGTCACGGCATTCCTACGATAATCTGAAACTAATTTTTTTAGATAGCTTACCTCCATTTTTTATTACTTTTTACCTCTTTAGGAATTTTTTATTCGGATTTGGTGATAGAGAATTTATTAAAAGTACTGTAGTAGTGTAGTGGTGTCAAATCACCAGCACAACAACAAAAATATGAAACATCGTTTTTCGCTAGTTTACTGAAAGCTGCATGTCAGACTTGATTCAAAGTCTTTCGCATTGGAGACTCGAGAGAGAGGGAGAGAGAGGGGCGGGAGAGAGGTAGCGAGAGAGAGAAATGAGAGAGTGTGAGAGAGATGGAGAGTGAGATTAATGTTTCATCTCAAAGCTTAGAAGATGTACGCTGGGAATTAATCGATCAGGTCTTCAGCCGGCGGCATGCGCAAAATTAATTCCGCACCTCGTTTTATGCATCCATTTCAACAATTTATTTAGCTTAAAAAATAGTGCCCAAATCCGGCGAAACAAACTTGTAAAAATTACTCGATTTATTGGAAGGGCGCGGGCCGGGCGCATTCCAGCGCGCATTCCGAAAGGATGCATTCACGGATTAGCTGCAAATGTCAATTTTTGCAGGGTTAGTTTCATTTTGTCGAAAATACGAACTTCGAGAGCTCACTGCGTCGAAAACGAAAATGTTGACATTTAAACTTCTCGAAACTTCATTTTTCCGAAAATTCATTTTATTTAAAAGTCATTTTTGTCGAATATAAGTAATTGGCTAAATTAAGATGTTTCCCATAATTTAATTAACTGGAATTATATCGCGATGAATTAATGTGAAGTGGAAAATGACCGCCGACCTTTAATGTGTTGACGGCCTCGTCGTCTCCCCCGGTCCCGGGGATGTGGCCCAGCTCTTCGGCGGCTAACTAAAAAATTAAATACACAACTACATCATTTTATAGATAAATGCCTATCAAAAAAAGCAAAATCAAAATTTTATTATTTATAAATATTTATTTACTTACTTATATAAATTATATATTTATTTACATTTGTTGGTTAGTTCATCAGTACGCATAATTTTTTGTCATCTTCAGCGCCTTCATATGATGATTTTTTACTTTTATCATTATGATCAGCTTTGTTGGCAAAACCATTCCACAAATTAAAGCACCAAGTTAGGCACAAACTACCCATAATTATGAAACATCAAATTTTAACGCTTTCCTGGCGGATTTTCAACTTTAAAGGGTTTGGAATATCAGAATAGTATTTGAGGCTTCGGCTAATGCTCCTAAATCAGCCAGTGGAAGGGCCTGACGGAAATTCGATGAAACACACTACATTTTTACAATTCGGCTTGATTTTAGATTGAGCTAATTTGTGTATCCACAAAATCATGGCTGTGTTAAATCAAACATTTTTCTAAAAAATAGTGAAGATAAATTCACAAGTGGGGGTACATTACGAAAGTTCGCAAAATTCTAAAACTATTATAACAGAAAACCCGCGGGGCTGATGTAAAATGGAGAGAACATCCAATTAAAAAATTAAATCATGAGATTTTGGCTCCCCTAATAAGATTCCCGTTAACGCCGTTTTTTTATTAAATCAACCCGTCGATGGGCCTGACAGAAAAACTCTGAAACATACTAATTTTGGAGGCATCTTTTCGAATTTGGCATAAACTTGGCTTTAATTAAATTGCGAATTATCGCCTTCTTAAATATAACATTTTTTCGATAACTAGCGCCAATAAATTCGTAAGAGTACGTTGCGAAAGTGGGTAGAATTCAAGGCCTATTATAGAAGAAATGCTGCCGCGCCGATGTAAAATGGATGCATCATCCAAATTAAAAGGCGTTTTTTTAGAATGTAGAGAAGAATGGCAGCTGATTAATTTGTTCAGCTGTAAACCCATATTTTTGATAGCCGAAACATGCTTTTATCAAAACAAATCTCAGCAATTAGTAAGCCCGAAACTATTGTCATTGCCCGGGAAACACGGCTTTGCAGGTCAACCGGACGACGATTAAGTAAGCTATTCGGGAGCGCTGATGGGAAAACTATCAGACATCACAATCTAACAAAATTCCAGTTCCGTACTCTAATTTTTCGGAAGCGTACGGTGAGGGGATCCGGAAATTTAATACGAAAATATACAGAATATGTACGTTTTTGCATAAGCCTATTCCATAGTGTTAATGAAAAATCCATGTAACCCCCCGAAGATTTTTTTTTGCAATTGGGCCATACATAAGGCGCTCGTCATTAGCTGGTGCAACGGCGAAATGATGGTTTCCTTAGTTGAAACAAATTTCTTTAAAGGGGCTCCGAAATCTGGACCACGGCCCCCTGCGTTGATTCCGGGCAAATAGCCAAACCGCGACGCGACCGCGCCGCATCCTTTTTGGCCCCCTCCCCTTTGACGTAAAAACGCCTGAATTTAAACATTCGAACGCTATTTCTAGAATCCTCATCGAAATTTGATCATTCTCGACTACGAGGTCATAAAAATCCGGAGGAAATAACCCCTTCACCTTACCTGAAACAAGTTTTTAGATGAATCTTATTTTTTTAACTTTGAAAATGTCTGGAACTCGAAATGGAAGTCGATTACCGTAGCCACGGTGAACCAGCAGTCCTTTTTGCAGCACACGCATGGGGTGGCCACTCGCTGGCCGTCGACGCACAACTTGTCCGAGTTGGGCACGATTGGCGGCAGTGAGAGGGCTGAATTTGAGAGGTTTCTTGGCGGCAAGCATCATCCCTTTAAAATTGTCTAAAACAAGCCTAAGCCTACGTCTAACAAGGCGTCTAAGCCTAAGCCTAAACGAAGCCTAAACCTAAGCCTAAGCCTAAACTTAAACTTAAACCGAAGCCTAAGCCTAAACTTAATCCTAAGCCGAAGCCGAAGCCTAAGCCTAAGCCTCAGCATCTCAAATTGCTTTCAACCAAAAAAATTTTTTTGAGTGAGTCATCAAAAACTAAAAAAAGTTTGTACAGAAATTATCAGTGCTTTTTCCGTACTGTTGACCAATAAAAATTTAACAAACATTGAAAATTTCGAAAGCTTTAGATGGGCTTAAAAATAAAGTAAATCAAAAATGTTTCATCCACAATTCAAAAAATTTATCTGAGGAATTGCAATCATTGAGATGCTCGCGTGTGCTACGAAACAATTACCTCCCAAAATGCAGGCCGCCAGCGCGCAGAGGTGCAGCATTCCCGCCATTAGTGTTTTTACCTGAATGAATTTTCAGATGGCAAAAATTATAAAAATCGATCAATAATATAAGTAAACAAATAAACATAATAAACCTTTATTTAATGGTCATTCCGCATTATCGGGAGGACTATCTAAAAAATGGAAAAATCCAAAATTTTTGTCGAAAAATTGATATTTTGTACCGTTAATAAAAATTTGTAAAGTTTGTAAAATTGCAAAAATAGGTTTAGAAGCGCTTCGATTATCTTATGTTTTCAAAAGTATACGCTAAAAATTTCTGAACCCCCCCCCCCAATAATGCCAAAACACCATCAAATTTAACTATTAAACTGAGGTCGCGCGGCAGTCAAATTTACATATTCCACAAACACGCCAATTAACGACAACATTCAATACCGGAAATCGAAATTTTCGTGAAACATATAACTTTTAGCGAGGCTGAGGATAGCTGAGGGTCTGACACCTAATTCTTTTCCCCCAAAAAACAATTAACCACCTCATCTAATTTGCATACAAATTGGGCCAGGCATAAAAAATCTTGTTCCTAGCAATAAAGGCACAAGCAAGCAAAGCGAAACACTGAACAAAATTTATCGATTGGCTATTTTTTTAATTAGCGTAGGGTAGTTCGGAATTTTAGGGCGAGAGAGAGCGAGAGAGAGAAAGAGAGAACGAGAGAGAGCAGAGAGGGAGAGGGAGAGAGAACGAGAGAGAGCGTGCGAGAGGTAGAGAGACAGAGAGCGCGCGTGAGAGAGAGAGTGAGCGGATTTCCGAATGTTCCAAATTTTCCGGTAGCTAGCAGAGAACCACCTCTGGGCAATGTGAGGAACATTTTTATTATAAGGCGGCGATAACGATTTGGGATTCTTTGTGAAATATTTAACGCATGGCAATTTTTAGTTGAAACATAGGAGTCGAACCGGCATTCGCTAGTTAGCAGAGGGTCTTTGAGAATTACTTTAAAAGGGGGCGGGACAACAGATTTTCGCGAATTTTATCGGGGTAACAAGCAGAGGTCTAGTCAGGAACTAGTGAAAATCCTTTGAGAATTATGTTAAAATCGCGATCACTTCTCAAACTTTATCGGAGGTAATCGGCAAGGGTTCCTTGAGAATTGGAACTGCCTAGGGGAATGAACTGGAACAAAATTGCTGCGTGATAAGCTGGGGCTCCTTAGGAATGGTCTGAAAAGGAGCATGACATCGAAAAGTCTCAAGGTTTGCTCGGTAACGAGCAGAGATTCCTTGAGAATGCCTTTAAAGTGAGCATGACCTAACATTGCTTGATTTTCTCAAGTTTACTCAGCTAGCTAGCAGAGCTTCTTTGAGAATAGGATTTCAAGAGATCCCCCGGTTTCTGGTGAATTTTTTAGGCGGGTCGCCTCGAATTTGATGTCGGTTCTCCCCGAAAGGCAAAGTTGCCAAATCCCAAAATGAGATCTGAGCCGCCGAAAAGGGGCTCGAAAAGGGGAAGAAGAGCACCCGAAAGGGCCACATTTTAGGGGGTTAGAGGGGGCGGGGCCTCGTTTAAACCGGCCCGTCTGGATTCCTATGCCCCCCCAAGAATTTGTTGACATTTCGGGATTGCGGATGGTGATGAGGAAAAATGCGGCAAAACCCGAAAAAAGACTCCTGAAAAAAAAGAAATATTTGAAAATTGAGTGTTTCAATCCCTGCTCAAAAAAACAAGAATTATGGCTGCTATTCCCCGTTTGCTCCACTCTAAAATCTTGCAGCCCTCAATGTTTTTATAACATTTATTTCATGAAGTGATCATAATAAAAAACCAGAAGATCCGCTCCATTTAAAACCTTAATGACATTTTCGAATGTGTCGACCAAAAGTTCCAATATTTTTTTGACAAAACAAAAGGTGTTTCGTCAAAAAAAGTAAATCTAAAAAAGACCGCGACATTCAGTCATAAGTTTGCGGTTGCGCTTTACTTGGAATAAAAAATCTTTGCGGTATTGCAGTGGTAAATAACCAAAATATCTTTAAATGAAAAATTTAATGATTTAATGACGTTAATTAATAATGACAATTTATGATATTATTATGGTATCGTTATTGATAATGTTGTTACGGTATTGATAATAGAAGAAAAAGTCGTAGTAGTTCGGGGAAAACGCCTAGATTAGATACAGTCTGTAAAACACACAATTATAGCCAGCTTCACTCTAAAAAGCCAAACATGAATTGAAAGCTTCCGATCCTTATTACAAGCAAAAAACCACAAATTGGAGAAATTAAACCCGAATTTCCCATCCTTGATATCGATTTCGGACGAAACGTTCTTTAGTTTTCGGGAAATTCATTGACGACCAAATTTGCTGCGCTTTTAGCTGCCTAGCGCCGCCAAATCCCGGCAGATCTCGGGATTTTGAGAGCAAGATTGCAAATAGAGGGGGTAAAAAAAATTACTCCATGCTGAAGAACCTGCACTTTGAAATTTTATGAAATAAAAAAAAATAAAAAATTTCTTGGTTGGTGTTTTTTGCGCAATTTTAATGCTTTAAGATTGAAAATTAAAATTAAACAAATTAAAATTGAAATTTGGCTGGGATTTTGAGAGCAAGATTCACCAGCGCGGGAAACAAAAAAAAATTAGTGTTGGCGAAAAAGGTTGGGTTGGAAATGTTCTGAAACCCAAAATTTTTATTAGCCTAGATTTTTTTGTTTGCCGATTTTTTACGCAATTTTAATGCCTTTCTTGCTTTTCAGGTGTATGTATTTCTGTGCAGGGGAAACAAGTAAAGAAACTTTAAATTGACAATTGAACTGGCAAATTTAAATTTAATTGACAAATTTTAATCATTGTTTATTTTCGATTAAGAGTATTGTTATTAAAATTATAATTAACAATTAAAAAAAATTATTGAAAAATTGAAATTGGAAACGCTGTTGATAATCAGAAACAAAGTTCGGTTGGTTGGCCGCGAAAAGATGTTTCAACTAAAATTATAGATGAGGTGTTCTCGGGTTTCCCAATGCGGTCCAGTTTCTTAAATTAAAAAATGTTACAAAAACAAAAAAAATTTACGAAAGACAAAACACTCATAGCTTCAAAAAACGACTTCTATGTTCTAATAAATCCACTTTTAAGCCCCTAAAAAACTTGCTTATTATCTTACAGGGTCCGGATTTTCCCCCCTGATAATGCACAAGAACCTGCGTTTGCAGATGGTAGCTGCTAGAGTCTTGCCAGGACGCCTGGAAGGCCAATTGGTATTTTGCGGCCGTCAGGAGGGGAAAGTCAAGTAAAAAAATATTTTCCACCCCAGCAGCTACGGATCGGTGCCAAAAAACCTTTTTAACCCCCCGAATTACCCCCCGAAAAGGGGGTCATTTATTTTTTGAGCGTCCCCCTCCCCTCTGCCGTTAATTAGGGGGCCGCCCGGAAGAAGTTTAGGCATCGAAAATATGTCCCCAATTTTGGTTTAGTAAAATTCGGTGTTTCAGCAAAATAAGTATGGTCGTGATACTGATCGTTGGCAATTTGTTCCATGGACGGAAGTCAGAATCTTTAGAATCCAATTTTTCTAATCTAAATAGGGCAAGCTTTTCTAAGCTTATTTTGTACTATTCCGCAACGTGAAATCGTAAAAATTTTGATTAAAAAACAAAATATCGAGTTTCCGTAACAAATTTCCAAAAATATTTTTTCGATTGATGTGTTTTATCAAATCTCGATTAGCCGGTTTAATTCGTTACGACAGTTCCTCTTGAGTTGGATTCCACATGTGTTCATTTTCAAAATGCATGTTTTTCATCATTTTTAGGTTTGGTTAGAAAAATCAGGCGGTGACCACATATCAATTGAGCGTCATTTAATAGTGTAGTTTCAGGAATTAATGTAAAATTGAAACCAGTTCATTTCGCTAGAATCCAATTTTTTTAATATAAATATATATATATATCTGATATGTGGTTTATCAAATCTCCGCTAGCTGGTTTATTTCTTCACGGCAGTTTGCTTAACACCAGCTTTGCTTGCCACAAATGCCTGGTTTTCGCCATTTTTTGGCAATTAGGGGGCCGCCGGGAAGGAGTTTAGCCATCGAATACATATAGGGCCAGGGGTGGGCGGCAATTTTGGTGTGGTGAAAATTCGGTGTTTTAGTGAAATTAATGTCGAATTCGAATTTTCGAAATAGCATTTTGTGAAAAATCATTTTGTCGAAATTCAATTTGCGAACTTTTCGGATGAATGATCGAGGTTAGGAAGGAATTGGGATTTTGACAAACGAAATTTCGACAAAAGTTGTTTCGGCAATACGATATTTCGACAAAATTAAACTGAAAAAAAAGGCGTGCACTTACAAAAATTAGTATAGTCATGATGACATTAGATGCCAATTCGTCGTCTTTTATAGTTGCTTCCAATCAAAATGGGGAATGGCAATTTAAGGTATTCGGATTTTTTTTCTTATTTTTAATTCCAAAAGTGATTGACAAGAACATTGGGCCCACCACACCCAGCAGCTGCCACTCAAATTCAAATTGGCTTTTCAATTTTCAGGGTCCAAAGGGTATTTGTTGGGATCGAACCGAGCTCATAATACAGATCTTTTCAGGTTGCGCATTTTAAAATATTTAAAACACATTTTTTACCCATTTTTTGCTCCGTGGCAAAGCGAAACAGTCGGTATTAGAAGACGTAGAATTTTGAGGATTTTGGATTTTTTTGCGATAGTATTTATTGACAAATCAAAAATATGTTTTGCTTCTTGAAAAAGAATTAGTACGAAAAGATATAGAATTTTGAAGCTAATCACGCCTACGGAGTACCAAAATAAAAGTATGTTTTGCTACAGAAAAAATTGAGACACAAATTTTTACATCGAATCGACTTGAGGACAGATCGAAAATCGTGGAACAGAGAATCGTTGAAGAGCTGGTTTTTTCCTAGGGTATTGAAAAATGCAATTTTTCGTGAAGATGGAAATAAAGACGTTAGTATAGAATCTAGAGGACTTTCATAATTTCGTAAAATTGCTTTAAAATTTGTCCTCGACAGCATCGGAGTCTTTGTCCTTTTTGGCGGCCGACACGGAGCCGACCTTGTTCCCGGAAGCTGTGCTGGCCAGGTGTCCGGTTTCTGAAATTTGTATCTCATGAAAAATACAGATTTTAAGGGGCGGGGAAGGCAAGCTTTGCGATCTCGAGGCCAAGATGCCAAAAATTACCAAAAACAATGCTTCGTAAAGGTTACCTACCAGACTTTTTCGCTAAGTTGTTAATGTCTTCAACGCTTCTATGTGCGATTGGTATATTTGCTAAGCCTATTTTTAACTTGCCGTTTGCGAATGAATAAATTTTATCTGCACAAAATTTAATTTGAAAACTCTGAATTTTTGTACGATTTTCAAAAAATATGTTTCATGAAAAAATTATGCTCCCAATATCAGGATTTTTTCAATCGACGCAGCTCCCCCGTTCAAAAAATGTAAAATTTGCGATCCCCGTGGAAAAATGTGACGCAAAAAATCTGCTCCGTGACGTTTTTCACTAGTACCTCCTGCCAAATCGAAAATTACAAGTTCTAGAATTGAAGAATTTAGAAAATTTTTCCGATGTACGGGGGTTTTAGTGGCACTATATTGATAACTAAATTCGTAGCCATTTGTACTCCCAACTTATTCGCCTTCAAAGCTTGCTGCAAAATTCATAATTCGCATTTTTCCGGGCCTTTGAAATAAAAATGTTTCGTGGAAATTTAAAAAGTCGGGTTGGAATATGACAGTAGTCATGCCAATCCATTTGGTTACATATAAACAAAAATCTGGTAAAAAAGGTTTGTTAAAGGTAAAGTTGTAAACTTACTGGTATCTTTGCGGATGCCGAGCATCGTCAAGACGGCCGTGCGGATCGAGCGGTTGACGACCACGTACATCACGCCGGGCGCTCCTGAAAAATGGCAGGTTAGCAGAGTTTGTTGAGGAAGAGGAGAGGGCAGGCTAGCAGAGATTGTTGAGGAAGAGGAGAGGGCAGGCCAGCAGAGATTGTTGAGGAAGAGGAGAGGGCAGGCTAGCAGAGATTGTTGAGGAAGAGGAGAGGGCAGGCTAGCAGAGATTGTTGAGGAAGAGGAGAGGGCAGGCTAGCAGAGATTGTTGAGGAAGAGGAGAGGGCAGGCTAGCAGAGATTGTTGAGGAAGAGGAGAGGGCAGGCCAGCAGAGATTGTTGAGGAAGAGGAGAGGGCAGGCTAGCAGAGATTGTTGAGGAAGAGGAGAGGGCAGGTAGCAGAGATTGTTGAGGAAAAGGAGAGGGCAGGCTAGCAGAGATCATTTGAAAGGGTGCTCAGGGGAGTGCGACACCAAACATACCATTTGAAAACTGCCACATCATCGTGGAGATGACGACGAAGAAGACGGGCACCGGGATAAACTGCATGAAGCAGTAGATGCCCGATGCGATCATCATGACGATGCAAATGGAGAGGCACTGGATGACCACCTGGAACATGCTTGGCTTAGGCATAGACTGAGGATAGGCTTACAAGCTTACAGGATACCGCCCCAGCTCGAAGTTCAGCTTCGATTAGCTAAACAGCCTATCAGATGCAGTTTTTTACGCTGATAACGATACCGCTATTTATTTTTGCCCAAATCCACAGGAACACTGTTAAAAATAGCTTTAAAGCTTTGCCACGATTTACCGCCATGCCTCAAAGTCCATCCCCAGGGCAAGGAACCCATCGGTGGCGTGGTGTAGTCGGCAAGTACTTGGCATACCAATCTAGGGGTTAGGGGTTCGAGTCTTTCCGCTGACGACTTTTTTGCTTTTTGGATAAAAAGTGCTGGGAAGGTCATATGAACGCCCAGTAACAATTTTTGGCCCCTTGGTCATTGATTTGGCAACAGAAGCATTTTGGCAACAACACAGATTTTTTTTGGCAACCTGATCAATGATTATGAGTAATTGTGCCATTAAAAACTCTCCTTCTCACCCTGGAGCAGAAAAACGCTAGACATCAAAATCCATGGTAAACAACGCCTAATAAATTCCTTTTCGGAAACTCAAAACAGTTTTGAGCAAGCGCTAGAAGCTGCTGATTGACCCCTTTGATAATTCAAACTTTCTTTGACCAAAAAAAATGAAACCGAAAATAAAATCGTAATCAAACCGACCAAGCGATGCAAAACAAATGAAAAAATTTTTACTGGGCGTTTATACGGCCTTCCCAGCACTTTTTATCCAAAAAGCAAAAAAGTCGTCAGCGGCAAGACTCGAACCCTTGATCACTAGATTGGTATACCAAGTAGTTGCCGACTACACCACGCCACCGATGGATGCCTCCCCCTTGGAAGGAGGCTTTGAAGCGCCTGTGCCGGATCACGCCCAGCCAGGCAAAAATGCCTAATGTTTAAAATGATTTTTCATAGCGTTCCTCTGGATTTGGGCAAAAATAAATATCGGGATCGTGATCAGCGCGAAAAACTACATCTGCTAGGCTATATAGCTAACCGAAGTCGAACTTCGAGCTGGGGAGGTATCCTTGTTAGGCTTCAATTCTGCCTCAATCCTGGACATGTTTTGGGATACCGGTAATCCAAAAAAATCAGATACTCAATTTTTTCGCGAGATGTATTGACTCTTGTCTGTGTTTGGTTTAATCTTCCTAACCCTTTCAGTATTGATTTGAAAACATTTTCGACGACATTTTTTAGGTTATCAAAAATCAAATTGAGTCATTTTTCTGAATGACAGCTAAAGGGACAATGACTGCCAGTTTTTGTGAGTTCTTCAGTATTGATTCATCTTTCAAACCTTTGAATTCCAGGTGTTATACCAGGTTTGGAGTTTAAAGGGACGGTGTCAGCTAGAAAAAGGTGGCTCTATCCCAAATAACCGCCAACGGTAATCTCAAAAAACGCACGACTTTCTGCATGGTCGACACGCCGACGGAGCTCTTGCGGTAGAGGCGGACCAGGAATGACACCATCATCACCTAAAAAATAACATTTTTACTATCAACAAAAGATCAAAAAAGCTTGTCCATTTTTATATTCTGGCAAAGCCAGCGTAATTGTAACGAATAGCAAAAATTAAATTTTTGAAAAAACATGTTTCGGAAAATTTTTATCATTGGCAAATATTTTTATTTTTACTGACTTGAATGATTACATTTTAATTACCAATTTACAATCAGATAAAATTTCCAAAAAAAGGACAGAGCTCACAAGTTGATGCTAGTGAGCTATTTGAGATTTTAATTCGGTTTCAAAATCCACGATTATCGATTTTTGATTTCATTATTTGAGGATTTTCAATGAAAATTTGTAAGTTTCAATTTTAAACCGTAGATATTCATGGGCAATACTATATAAATTATAGTTTTGAAAATACGATGTTTCAAAAATGTGTCAGCTGCAGCGAATTTGAATTTTCGCAGTAAATAGACTTTGGTTTAACTCACGTTAAGAATCGACGCCACCGTCGTCACCACGAGGTTGTTGACCATGTGGATAGTATTCGCCTAGAATTAGGGGATACGGTAGCCGGAGGAATGTTTCGAAAAAAACTTGCTCAGAGTCGTCAAAGAAAAAACCATTCTGGCTCGGTTCCCCTCGTTCCCCACTACGAAGTCAAATTAAAAGAAGAAATTAAATAAAAATTCCTGAAAATTTGTCTATTTTCTTCTTTAAATGTTTTGTTTTACAATAAAGGACTTTTATTTCGTCTTGAGATTTTGAGATTTGAATAAAAATAGAAATTTAGTCATCTTTAATTCGAAGAAATAGCAATTTTAAAATCGACCGCAAATATGAAAATATTGCTCTAAAAATAAAGGCACCAAGTTAATTCGTAAATTTTGAATTCAGAACTTTTAGACAATTTACGGTTTCGGGTTTCGTAACTGATCGCAATTTTTTTGGCATGCCATTTTTCAAAAAGGCATTTTTTGACAATTTATACCAAGCAATTCCGATCTTTAGATCTGAAACTCGCAAAAATAGTTATGTTTCGCATCCTAACCACAATAAACTATGCATACAGGCAGACAATATTGCTGTTTAAGCTGCGGTTTTGCAATTTTTACATATTTTCTAATGCCAAATCAGGACTTCAGAATTCTGGCAAACAATAATGTTTCAAAACCTTAAAAATAGGAGAAATTTTTAAAGCTGTAGTTTCTCCTCGAGCTAACATCAAAATACACACGAATTAAAAAATTAATTTAGTAAAAAGATAAATAAAAAAAATTTCACGCATTCTCAGCGTTGAAATTGATCGCGTTGTTTCAATTAATCCTTGTTAACGTTTTTTTCGCAGCTTTTGAAAGGGCTTAGGTTTAAACTGAAATTCCAGAAACTGCGAATTAATGTCGTATGTTTCATAACCTAACAACAACCAAATTTCTTCAAAAGCTATAGTTAGTATTTCTCTCATAAATTTTTCTATCACATCTTTACTTTTTAAATTAAGTATTAAATTTTTGATTGTGATTGAATCATTCAATTATTATATGTGTTATTAAATTGAAAACATATAGTTTAATTTTATATATTAATAGTACCTCCATGGGTTTGAAGATGTCAATGTCGAAGAAGTATCCACCCATAATCGGGTTGAACTGCGAGGGGACGTCGGTGAGGAGGACGAACATCACGTATCCCACCGGGCCCAACCCGAGCCACACGTAGACGCGCCAGTCTTTGAAGAGCGACTGAAAATGTGTGTTTCAGCGCATAGCAAGTTTGATTTTGTTATGCCTAATTCAATATGTCATGGCGAACTCGCTGTTTTCCTTGCGATCCAATTTTAAATATTACTTTAAAAAGATTGAATTATGCTATATATTCATAAAATTCTTGTTTTTTATTATTCATAAATAAACCTTGCTAAATTTTATAACAAAAAAAAATTTGTTTTCTAAGAAAATTTGTGTTTCAGCCCCTGGCAAAGTTCTTTTGGTCATACCTGATTTAATACCCGTGTCGAACTTAAAAGGCCGTCTGCGAGCCACCCGACCTGTCCCCATTATGCCTTGGCACAGTTTTTTTCGACCCCATTTTTTCGATGCCATCGGAAAGAGCATGTTCGAATTAGTAGGGCTGCATAGTTTTGAAGGTTCAAAAAGTTTATTTTTATGGTTTAAATGGGCGTTAAAGTTGCCAACCACGAAAAACTATCTTGGAAGTTCCGGGACAGAATTGGCTGAAACTTTCAGAATACACCTATTTTGGGACGGGGATGATTTCTCTAATACATTCCGAAGCCTGAAAATGACCGGAACATGGTTAAATAGCGTACTATAAACAGTTTTTCGGGATTTTCGACTATGCGGGCGGTTGAGCGCCACTCATATGTGGTAGGAAAAAATGCGCGACATTTTTCTGCGTCGAATGACGTGCCAATTAAGCGGCGCTCGGTCGCCCGCATATCTTTAAAAACGCGATTTTTACGCCGAAAATGGCGATTTTTGGTCGAAATCTCGGGCGGGTACGGTGAGAGAGTGTGGCGAGCGCAGAGGGCAGAGACGGCTAGGGTGGTCAAGTTGGGGGCTCTCTGGCAGCACCCGATTCGCTCCCCCAGGGCTGCTGTCTGCCTGTCTGGACCCTCCCCGCCGCCCCCACTCTCTCGCCTGTTCGGCCTCCGAAAACACGCAAAAATCGCCATTTTAGGCGTAAAAATCGAGTTTTTTAAAATATGCGGGCGACCGAGCGCCGCATAATGGACACGTCATTCGACGCAGAAAAATGTCGCGCATCTTTTCCTACCACGTATGAGTGGCGCTCGATCGCCCGCATAGTCGAAAATCCCGAAAAACTGTTTTTAGTACGCCATTTAACCATGTTCCGGTCATTTTCAGGCTTCGGAATGTATTAGAGAAATCATCCCCGTCCCAAAATAGGTGTATTCTGAAAGTTTCAGCCAATTCTGTCCCGGAACTTCCAAGATAGTTTTTCGTGGTTGGCAACTTTAACGCCCATTTAAACCATAAAAATAAACTTTTTGAACCTTCAAAACTATGCAGCCCTACTAATTCGAACATGCTCTTTCCGATGGCATCGAAAAAATGGGGTCGAAAAAAACTGTGCCAAGCCCCTTTCGGGTCCCTCGCGAACGGCCTTTTAAAGCTAACTTTTTTGCATAGGATCCAATTTCGAGCTTTTAAAAAAATTTTTAACGATCAAAATATCTTTATTAAAATGGCAATAATTTTATAAAAAGAAGAAGTGTTTTAAAGAATTTTTTTACAATTCCTACCGAAAAACTGCAAATTTGCATAAAAGATACAAAATCTCGATTTTTCGAACAATATCTCGATTTTGCAAATATTTAATAGTTTTAGATAGTTTTCACTGAACAATTATTAAAACCTGATTTAAAACATTAAAACTCTGAGTATTACGTTACTCGGAATTTCCGAGCTTATGGAGGAAAATTAGGTTTCACCCGATAATTCGAAAAAAATTATTTTTTTTCAATATGGCATTTTGATCTGTGAATGATTTCAATTCAGCTCAAGTTTTTTTGTATATTTCGAAAATTCTGTAAAATACCTCAGCCAGTCTTGGCCATCCGAAATCGAGCGTCCGGTTCAGCCCCAACAAAATGGCGCACGAGCAATAGCCGCACCAGAACGCTGAAAAAACGGATTTTAGCGGAGTTACGGTAACCAATAATCATTTTATAACTTTTCGCTTACCGGAATATTTGAAAATATTTTTTAAACGAATAAAAAATTTGAAAGATGGATATTAATATAATACAATCCCATAATTTTAAACGAATTTTATCTTGAGAATAGCATGTCCGAATAAAGGTTAGAACAATATTTTCGGGATTGAAAGTGGCTCAAACATTTTTTTAGAAATATTTTATAAATGGTTTTTATCAAGCATTTTTGTACGGACGAAAGCCAAGAACTAGGGCGAGTTTACGTTTCAGGGCTTGACAATTTTTTGAAACATTCTCTTTTTTTATTCCGTTCGTTTTTTGCGGCATCATAATTGACAATATTTGAAACATTCTTTTTAGATTCGCCGTTTAAAACGTTAAAAGATTTCTTTTGTTTTGCTTCAAAAGTTAATACGATAATTGAATTAAATACCGTAAGCGATGAAGCCGAGCCAGACGTTCAGCAGCGGGTACGTGCAGATGGAGCCGCCCACGAATAGGTAGTAACCTGAAATAGGGCAAAATTGATATAAGGAATTGCACGTTTTAAATATTTTTATATCCTGAAATACTTTTTCTGCCAGATTATCAAGTCAAAGAATTCAAGGTTTTTTTCAACATTTAAATTCCCACCGGCCAATAGAGCGTTTGGCACCAAGCTGATAATATCCATTATGCCCATGGCGAACCTGAAAAAATGGGAAAATTTAGTTTAGGGAGAGGAGAGGGCAGGCTAGCAGAGATTGTTGAGGAAGAGGAGAGGGCAGGCTAGCAGAGATTGTTGAGGAAGAGGAGAGGGCAGGCTAGCAGAGATTGTTAAGGAAGAGGAGAGGGCAGGCTAGCAGAGATTGTTGAGGAAGAGGAGAGGGCAGGCTAGCAGAGATTGTTGAGGAAGAGGAGAGGGCAGGCTAGCAGAGATTGTTGAGGAATAGGAGAGGACAGGCTAGCAGAGATCATTTTCCTACATAATTTTGTAGCAGGCATGCTGAAAGAATTCCTTGTTCATCATGGCGATCAGCACCGGGATGTAGATGAGCTCGTAGGTGAAGCCGGTCACCAGGTAGACGGAGCCTAAATGACAAAATTGCGCTTGCTTAATGAAGCGAAATCCAAACAAAAAGCGGAAAATGAGGATTTTCCGCGCCAGAAAAAAGAATGTTTCGAAAAAGGTTAAAACTAGCGAATTGTAATTTGCAACAATGACTAGGTAGAAAATAATGAGGCGAAAAATTTTTTATGTGACGCTCTGTTTAAACTGACCGAGCATGGGGTTGGTGAACTGGCTGTAGGTGCCGTTCAGCTCCAGGCACTCCTTGTGCACGTAGCCCCAGTAGTTTGGGTGCACAAAGTGGAAGATCTGAAAAAAAAATGTTAGGTGCGTATTTCGCCTACCAAAATTAACCACATTATTTATTTTCCGCTTGCGCAGTTTTTTAAAAAATGATGAAACACAATTTTGGTACCTGCGAATCACTCATCTTTAAACAATGTAGGCAGGAGCGGATTAAAATTCAAGATAAAAATAGCAATTAGCTCTTCTAGGGCAGTTTAGTAATATCAAAGGAATGCCGTTCCCGCAGTTTTAAGAAAAAAACGTATTTTATTTTAAGAAAGAACAGAAAGGTAGCATTAACATTATAATTTAAAGTTAAGCATAACAAAGTTTTTATAATAAGGTTAAACTCTACAACAATTAGTTTCCAAATCCTTATTGTTAAGAAAAGACGGAATTCAATTTTTATTATAAATCCAGAAGGCGTCCAGAATATTAGACGCCGAAAATCGCAAAAAATTACCTGTCTCCAGCTGGCGCGCTTTTTAAGCAGAGTTTAAACTTATTTTTTTAGGAAAAACGGATAAACCAATTTTAAGCCAGATGACGTGTTTTTGAGGTTTTTCAAAAAAAAGGTTTTGCTTTTTTCGTAAAAAATAAGAAATTTTCCATCGAGTTTGTGTGTTTTGTTACATTATTTTAGAATATAAATGTATTGCATAAATTACCGTACCTGCCCGAGTAAGGTGGCTTCCGCGTCGGCAATAATCTGCTGCTCGAGCTTGGCCTGGTCAGACCACATATCCGCCCAAGCCGTCAGGTTTTCGCGCCAATCCCACTGACCGTCGGCCGGTCTTGGTTTCATTTTGGCTCTAAAGTCGGATAAAATTCAATAAACATTAATTTTATATTTCGTAAAGGAAGGAAAAGGAAAAATTACTTACAAAAAAATATATTTCATCAAAACGCAGCCAGAAGCGTCCACTTTTCACACCAATAACGCGTCAATTTCGCCCGGGATGTGTTTTGCTATCAATGATGTCATATACCTTTATATGCTATAATATTTAATTTTAAGTAATATAAAAGATCCTGCAAGATTTAAATACAGTTCTAATCAATTTCAAAAATATTTTTCAGTGGGAGTAGATGTTTCACAAAAATTTACTTACGCTGCGTCCGATTTGGAGGATAATAAGCCCCACGTCCTGTGTTTTACTATTAAAATCGCTACTGCTCCGGCCTTCAATTTGTTGCCTTAAAAATAGAAGAAATGGATGCTATAAGAACTTCCGTAATCCGGAATCTGGCCGGAATTTTTAAGCCTATTTTTGCCAAAACTTCTGCAAAACCTCAAGTCAAAATTTGAGAAAATCCATGTTACAGAAATGTTTACGCGCCGGAAAAATTATAAATCGGGAATTTGAGAACAAATTGATTTATTAATTTTAATTCAAAATCCGTCTTGATTAAATGAAATTGCAGAGAAACCTCTAAATTAGCAGTGTTTAGAGCTACCGTAATCCCGACCTAAGCCAGCATCGAGGTTTCCGGATCAAAATTCCAGCACCCAAGGAACCTCAACCTAGTTGTCGCGCCCCTTAAGCCACGCCCCTTTCAGGTATACGGTAATGCAAAATGACACATACAATCACACCAATTAAACAGCCACGGATTTTAATCCCAATGCTCCGGGCGCGGCCGGATTATGTTCGCTATTTCCCTACAAAATGTTTCAAAATGTTTAAATCCCACAAAAGTCCCGTGGGTTGATGTGCCCAGATAGTTGTCGTGAAAACTGTTTTTGCATCTCCAAATTCGTCCGTTTACAATTGGGTCTAAGGGATTTATAAAATTCTGAGGAATCCGGAATTAAAAGGCCGTTTGCGAGAGACCCGAACAATGCTTGGCACAGTTTTTTTCGACCCCATTTTTATGACGTCATCTGAAAGAGCGTGGTCGAATTAGTAGGGTGGTATGGTTTTGGAAGTTTAAAAAAGTTTAATTTTGCTGTTAAAATGGGTCTCAAAGCTGCCACCTTCGAAAAAGTAACTTGAAAACGACTGAACCAAACAGGCCGAAAATTTGTGTCAATACCTAATTTGGCGTGGGGATCATTTCTCTAATACATTTTGAAGCATGAAAATGGCCGGAACATGGTTAAATGGCGTACTAAAAACAGTTTTTCGACATTTTCGACATTTTAGGGTGGTTTGCGAAAGCTGACTTATGCACGAAAAGATGCGCCCGTTCTTTCCGCATCGAATGGTGTATAGCTTATCGAGCGCGAACCACCCTAAAAATTAGTTTTATTCGCTTTTATGTGTGAAAATGGTGTTAAAAATGACCCCAAAAAATGAAAATTTTTGAATTTGGAAAATCTGAGATATAGGATCGCATCTAGAGACCGAGACGTGTCGATTGCAAAAAAAGAGCAAAAAGAAATTCGGCTTTCTTCGATCTCGCGGAATCGAACCCGGACCCTCCGCCTGGTAGCCCTGTGGCGCAATGAGTAGGGCGTCGGCGTACCAATCCAGAGGTGGCGCCAGTTCAATCCCAGCCCCCTCTCAGAAGCCGAATTTCTTTTTGCTCTTTTTTGCAATCGACACGTCTCGGTCTCTAGATGCGATCCTATATCTCAGATTTTCCAAATTCAAAAATTTTCATTTTTTGGGGTCATTTTTAACACCATTTTCACACATAAAAGCGAATAAAACTAATTTTTAGGGTGGTTCGCGCTCGATAAGCTATACACCATTCGATGCGGAAAGAACGGGCGCATCTTTTTCGTGCATAAGTCAGCTTTCGCAAACCACCCTAAAATGTCGAAAATGTCGAAAAACTGTTTTTAGTACGCCATTTAACCATGTTCCGGCCATTTTCATGCTTCAAAATGTATTAGAGAAATGATCCCCACGCCAAATTAGGTATTGACACAAATTTTCGGCCTGTTTGGTTCAGTCGTTTTCAAGTTACTTTTTCGAAGGTGGCAGCTTTGAGACCCATTTTAACAGCAAAATTAAACTTTGTAAACTTCCAAAACCATACCACCCTACTAATTCGACCACGCTCTTTCAGATGACGTCATAAAAATGGGGTCGAAAAAAACTGTGCCAAGTCATAATGGGGCCTGTTCCGATGAGTCGCGGACGGCCTTTTAAGCCTTGATCGAGCTTTACGCCAAAAATATTCCATGAAGTTCGAAAATTGTGTTTCAGTCAATATACTTGCTAAGCGTGCCAATTGTGTCCTAATGGAACTCGACTGGCTTAAAAATAGAAGAAATGGATGCCATAAAAATTACCGTAATCCGGAAATTCGCCCGAACCTTTTAAAAACCCAACTTTTTCAAAACGCCCCACAAAAACCTACGAACAAAATGAAAGAAATTCAATGTTAGATAAAATTAAAAACACTGAAAAATTACAAAGCTTGATTTGACAATCTTAATTAATGGAAATTTAAGAGACTTCTTTTAATTAGCAGTGTCCAGAGCTACCGTAATCCGGACCTGAGCCAAAATCTAGCTCTCCCGGATCAAAATTCCAGCACCCAAGGAACTGTGACCTCAATCTAGTCGTCGGTCCCCTGAAGCCACGCCCCTTTCAGGTATACGGTAATGCAAAATGACACGCACAATCTTACTAATTAAGCCACCACGGATTTTAATCTCTAGATTCCGTGGGGCTCCATTGTACCCTCAGTGGGCACAAAAAGCCGCCTGGCAATCCAGCTAACGACCCGATTGTCTCACCCTGCTTTCATCACAATGCCTCCCCTCCACCAAAATGGAATTCTAATTTCTTAGAAAATTTTGAAAAATAGGTTCGGTGGAGCTCTCCGGAAAATTGAGAAATCGGGCGCTTTTGTCCGATTCGTTTTCTGCGAGAGATCAACGAATGCAAAAACGGTGTATAGCGTAGCTGGGGGAATAACTAGAGAATTGGAAATTAGAATGCGCCGATTAAGCTGATGGAAACAATTAGATCTACGATTTCTGCGAGCCGTACGGTAGCAGAAAGCATCCATTTAGAGTTTTTGTGTTTTGATTCCCGATTGCAAAAAAATTAGAAAAGATGTTACAACTATCTTCCAAAACCGGGAGTTTTGAAAAATGTTAATAGAAACTCAACGTCCTTTTTTATGTTCGAAGCTAGCGAGCCGAACATTAGAATGCCCGCAATTTGGAAAATTACAAAAAAGAGCATCCACTCTTTTCGCAATATCACTACGGTATTTTTACTACTACGAGTTTTTGGGTTTCAAAAAAATTATGACACTTAAATTCAAAAAAATTCGTGTTTTGCGAAACATCAATTCTCATGTCTTTTGACAAAACTGAGCTCTACGATTTCTGCTAGCCTAGAAAGCGATGAAACTACGGTACCGGAAGCCATAGATTCCTTCTGAGTTTCGAAAAGCGATGTTGCATCACATTTCCAGAAGTGCGTGGTTGAAAAATTGGTAATAATCGTGGCATCGCTAGGAAACAATTGGCCGTACGGTAATTCCGTCGACTTTAATGGCCTCGATTAAAAGCACGTAATAGCCTAATAATCTAACGCAAAGTTTCTGCAAATTTCTCATCGCTTTTTTCGCAACACGTCCATTATTTTAATGTGGCGCGCCGGTGCGTGACTTTAGCGAAAAGGGCCTCCCAAAAATATAGCTTTTTGTTTCTAAAAGGCAGCTTTCTGCTAATCTTGCTATTTTCTTTATTTCTATTTGTTTTTACTATTATTTATTGATTTTTATTATAGCTATTTTTTTAGAATATTAAGCTAGGCTGTTTTGTTAACATCCTAAAAATAAAAAGTGTGTATTTCATGGAATAATTTGCAAAAAGCACCGGCTTCGGGGTTTAGTAGTTATCGAAATTATTAACTAGATTTTTATGTTATCTGGAACATTTTTTTCTCGAACCCAAAAAATTTTTGGATGAAACAAAAGCTTAAAAATAGATGATCAAAAATGTTTATACGAACAGACGAACAACAGAACAGACAACAGAATTTCCGTCATGATACGCTCCGATTCACACGCAATTTCTTGGTCACCCCGCAAAACGGAGTATCGCCGGCTTGGCGGCCAAGTTTTTTGTGGAATTTACATGCCAAGATTCCCAGCCGAAACACGTCGCTATAGGCTGTTCGAGATCTAGTGAGCACTTATAGGTACGTGGGGGTTTCTCCGTTCTCTGGCTCTCTCTCCCTCTCTCTCCCTCTCTCCTTCTCTCTCTCTCTCTCTCTCTCTCTCTCTCTCTCTCTCTCTCTCTCTTTCCTCTCCCAGATAATATGTTTCAACGGTTTTCAAATCAAATTCAGCGAACACTCGATTAATCGACATGAGTAAGCGGGAATATTATATTTTTAATCCGAAATTAAGCCACTTTTAAGGTCAAGTGAATGGACAATGCCCGACTAGAAAGTGCTCCGGGTTCTGAAACCGCGCGAAAAATATGATTTTTCTTCATACACCGCATGGTCGATTCAATTATGCAAACCTTTCACAAAATACAACGAACCGATTCCCGAATCTATGTGAAACGTATTGTTTTCCTTACCTATTTCGCGGATTTTCCCAGTCTTTTGTGGCGCCAAAAACATTGTTTCATGTAAGTACTTTGTTGCGTAGGCCTTCAAATTCTTAGTACGCCATTCTTCTTTTTTTAAGGATAAATTTGCTAGGCTTTTGATTTCCTGATTTTGATTGGTAGTTTTTCTTCACTCAAAAACGTCTCCTTGTTAGCCTTCCAAATTCTTAATCCGCCGCGGTGTCGGCAGCACTGAATTTTATTTTGTTTTATCGCTCTAATTAAATTTTTTAGCAGCTAATTCTCTATTTTGTAGCTTTCAGCTTTTCTAATGCAAGGGTTTCTTTTTTAAATTTTTCGGATTTTTCAATATTTTTAAGGTTTTTATGTTTCCAAAAAGAAATTTTTTTGCTTGCTTGCTTATTGAGGTTTTATCTGCGTTGTGAAAAAATGTTTCGAAAAATTTGGCAACAGCGCAATAAGGAAACGTAATAATCGTGGAGCTCAATCTTTTCATGCTCATGAAATTCTAGATTTTTCTACAGGTTTCGGCCTTTCTATGCTGTTAGATATTTTCCTGTTTTCCAAAAAAGACGTGTCCTTTTTTTGAAAACTCCATTCCACCGGTCGCCTCATTTTCCTGAGTGGATTCCGGTCCGGCTTTTCCCCCAAAATCCGGACGAGGGTCCCAATATTCGATTACGGGACACCGTTTAGGGGGTTGGCCCCTCCTAAATGGTTGTCCGCCCTAAAAATTGACGAAACCTAGAAAATTTCGACCTACACGATTTTGTGAAACACCTATCGTCTTGCTGCTCCTTTTTTACTTTCTATATTTCGCATAACTTAATTTCTATGGCTTCCTCCACCAATTCAAATAACCCGCCGAAATCACCGCGAAAATTGTGAGTTTCCTAGCATCTATATATCTAGCTTCATTATACAACATTTAAATTAGCTTCTAATACCGGTTAGAAAAGAAATTGGTTAATATTTATATTCGAACAATTAAAAAACAATTAAAAATTAACTTAAAATTAATTAAAAAACAAATTCTACAATTTATAAATGCTGCAAGAAAAAGAGTTCCCATTTTTTCTCAGTGGCTTAATTCAAAGTCAGTTAAAACTATAAACTACCGCTGCAAAAAACAATTACGACTAATTATGGATTATGGATTTTGCAGACATTACAATTTCTATGAAACACGCTTTTTCATTATTCCAAACGTATTTTTTTATTTATTCTATTTTTTACAGCGAGCGGAGCGCTCGCTGTTTTGTTAAAATAATATTTTTGAGCTGAAAATGCGCTTAAAATAGGTTAAAATTGTTTTCTCGCGAAAATTTACTTTGTTTGGGGCAAGCGCAAAACGTGCGTTAATTGTAGCCCTACGAGCAACACCAAAACCCCTTTTTCTTCAAACATCTAATGGCTAAAAATTTATATTTTAAAAAGGCTATATTTATCTTTAAGATTCCTAGTAAAAACAAGAGTAAAAATAAATATACACCCCAAAAACCTGTAAAATTTCATTTCAGCGCGAAACGCAGCTCCGAGGCCGACGGCGAGATTGAGGACATTTTAAAGTTGCTGTGCTCGGATTTGAAAAATTCGGATCAAAGGTGGCCGTAGTTTTTAGCTTTTCGATTATATTATTATCTAAAACATTTTCAAACAAACTAATTTTATCGTGAAACTGTTATTTTTCGATTATATTTTAAAACCACTATTTTAATATTTTAAAACAATTTTTCAGGGTCCCCAGCCAGTTTCATTTCGCCAAAACCGCCGCGGCCGTGCAGGTCAGCCAAGCTGAAGGCAATTCTTCATTTTAAACCATAATTTAAATAATTTTAGAAGCCAAATCCGTGCAAAATGTGCCGGACTCGCCGAGCAAGCGGACCCCGAAGAAGATGCCTAAAGTAAGACTTGCGCGCACATTTGCAAAGCAAATTTTTAATTTCCAGATTTTTCCATCGAGGCGCACCCCCTCCAAGTCGCCGGCCCGGCAGCCTGGCGCCAAGAAATAGAAAATAAAACTTGGGTTCTTTCGCATTATCGGGGAGGGGAGCGGGGCAAAATTTTTTGTGCAAGCCTAGAAATGCCTAGTAACTTAATAGGAAGTATTTTCGTCGTTTTTTAGTAAAATGAAGCTATATTTCAACGAGAAACTCTATCTAAAAAATGTCAAAAAATTTTCAAAAAATCGAAATTCTTTTGTATTTTTTTAATAAAAAATTTGTAAACTTTTTACGTCTAGGAATAGTAAAAAAACACTTTCGAAACAGTTTCGCTATTCATATTTAAAAGATTGAAAACTAAGAAAAAATTTTGTCCCCCCCGATAATGAGAAAGAACCGGAAACGTGCAACGTTTTCTTAGCCAAAAAAAATAAACTATCCACGTTTACTTCAAAAACATACGATACACACAGAGCAATTTTACACGTGGCTGGAGAAACGGGGTTACGGAATACAATTCGAGACCGGGAGCACGGGGGGCTTTGGATTTTCTCTACAACGTTTTTACAGGCTGCAAAAGGTATCAAGAGATGGTCAACAAGATTTTCGGGTTCGGAATAAATTAGTTAAATTAAGGGGACAGGCGAGCAGAGATTTTCCGAGATTCTGACGGTATATTTGGGTTAACGATTCTTGGGGATTCAAGCGGACTTTTTGAAATTATTGATCTCTAAACGAGAATTTCGGTAATTTTGGGTCGAAAAAGAGATTTTTCGCCTAAATTAGTTTTTGAAAAGCTTGTTAATGAAATTTTAGCTATTTATGTAGAAAACATCTAAAAAATTACAAGATGCCGCCACATGCGAAATTTTCGCCAGTTTTGCTAAAAAAACAATTTTTGCACTGACAATATAAACTTTATGATGCAAATTTGTAGTCTATTTTATAAAGAAACGAAATTGGATTTTAGAAGTTTTAAAAATTTTTTCCTCGTCCGAATCCCAAAGAACCGAATTCCCAAAGTATCTCTGCTCGCTCGCCAACGCTTTAGGTTTCAACAAAAGGGGGGAAGAACACGGATCACAATCAAATGACAAACCGGTAGACGCTGTTATCGGGGACCGGCCACATAGGCCCAGCACGCAAAAACGACCAACATTTTTTAGGGGGATCAACGGCGGAAGATGAGATCGTAGTGGCCGGGGCGGTAGAGGAGCACGACCGGCGGTGGGTGCGCCGGGTCCGCCGGGATGTCGTAGTGTGTGCCACCGTTGGGGACGGCCGTCTGGTCGAGGTACTCGATGCGAAGGGACAGGCCTGAAAAGCGGATTTTGAAAGTGCGTCCTACAAAAATAAAACACCCGCTAAAATAAGGTACAACCTCAAAAACGGCACTTTAGTTCTCAGAAATTGAAAAGTACGTGCTGTAGTAAAACTTAAGCAAAGTACGTTTTAAAGTACGTCTTACAATTCCGCCGGGTTTAAAATAGGACCAAGACTAAATCGGAGCTATTTTAGCTTCAAGAATGGAAATTAAAAACTAAAACGAAATGAAAAATGTTTCAAAAAATTTCCAGCTTTACTGAGTTCATCACAACTGCAATTTCATGTAAGGAGGTACGTTTACAAATTCAAACCCTAACCCAGTCCGCTGACGAGTCCCTGAATGGCCAAATGGTCGACGTCGCGCCACATTGTCTCAATCTCCTGGGCGCAGTACTGCTCCAGTGGCAGGCCGTTGTCGATGAACGGTGCGTACTCGTCGGCGTGCTCTTTCAGATAGCCGGAAGCGACGAGTCTGGAAAATGAAACTTTTACAATAATTTTTTACACATTTTCTAACATGATATTTTTGTAAACAGCTTTTTTACCACAAAAATACCAAAAAAGTAATTTTTTTTTGTAAAACACTTCTTCAAAATTAGCAATTCGAAATATTTGCGCGGCTACCAGTAGGAAAAGGCAAAAATCATTAAAAGGTTCTTTAGGATTCCCGGGGGCAGCGTATTCCGGGGAAAACAAATTTTTTCGGCGAAAGCCTAGATTTTTGTATAAATTGCGGATGCGTTTCTAAACTGTTTTTAACTATTCCTGTGCATAAAAACTACACACATTTTAACCAAAAAAATGTAAAAAATTAAAATTAGGTCGAAAAATAGACCCAAATGACCAAATTTTCGACTTTTTCAAACATTTTTCTAAATTTTTCTGAAAGTTATTCTGCTTTAAATATACTTGAAACTTACTAAAAACAATTCAGAAAACACTTCTTATATTTGATTACTAGGTCAACCGAAATAAATCCAGGAAAAAAAATTGGTTTCCCCCGGAATACTTTCCCCTGGAACCCTAAAGAACCCATTAAAAATTAATTCAAAGAAACCATAAATTCGACTAAAAACACACCTCAAAAATATGACGTAATAGTTGGAGTACTCGTCCTGGTTGCACTTGGCCAGCCGCCTGCCAAGCGTCAATTCGTGGGCCAGGATTTGATTCAACAGCTCGTAGAACTAAAAAATATAAAACCAGATTTTTAGTGTTTACCACATCGCAGAAGTCGGTGGTGGTCATCTCCTGGAAGCCGAGTCTCAGCAGCCGGTCTTTCCAGCCCTTACACACCGCGTCGAAGCTGAAAATTCGGGGCTTAAAAGCAAGGGTTCTGTTCTATTTCAAGTGGGGGGAAAAACTGTGCGGGGGGGAATTTTTCCTACTTTTTTTATAACTCTTTTATATGATGCTATTTTGAATTGCAATTAAAACTCTTAGTATATTTTTTGACGCTCTATCGATTGGCATTAAAGAAATTTTTGAAAGTTATCGAAAATGTCGAAAACTAGCTTTCGACTACACGATCCCATGTGGAAACACCGAATAAACCTTTTTTTTTTGCTATAACTATTTTATAAAACAATATTTTTAGATGAAATTAAAACTCTTAGTATATTTTTTGATGCTCTATCGAATGACAAGTTCAAAATATCGAAAAAATGTCCAAAATGCCGAAAACTAACATTCCGGACGGAGTTTCAATAGTTTTTTGTTTTGCTGTAACTTATTTATATTACAATATTTTTAGCTAAAACAAAAACTCTTAGTATATTTTTTGATGCTCTATCGAATGGCGTTGCAAAAATCCCGAGAAAATAGCGAAAAAATGCAAGGTCCGCGAAACATATTTTCCCCCGCACAGTTTTTTCCCCCCCGCGAAATAGAACAGAACCAAAGCAAGAAAGATAGTTCGTACCGTCTCAGCTCATCCGGATCACGCACAATTCGCTCGACTTGGGCGGCAAGTACGGCGCGGTAGAAGCAGTTGCCGTCACGGCGCATCGGGCGTATCCACGCGTACGTGTCCGACAAGTCGCTGGCCTAAAAAGCAAAAAAATTAACTTTCCACTTCTCCAAAAATCTCGGCTTGCCTGCCCCTCTCCTATTCCTCAACAATCTCTGCTAAATTGCCCTCTCCTCCACTTTTCCAAACTCTACCTTGAAATAGAATTCTGGCGTTTCGTGAGGCGTATACTCTTGCACCACCACGTCGAAAGGTATCTTCGGGCCGATGAGAGGTACCATTTTTGTCTGAAAAATGCGAATGAAATCATCTTTATAAAGCCATACCTCTTGCTCAATATCGCGCAACTGTTGGTCCTGCTGCTCAATGTAGTTCTCATCAGACAAGTGGTCGGCTAGCCGCTCGGAGGCGCTGTTGCTTTCCTAAAAAACTTAATTTCTCAAAAAAGTCCGAAAATTTCCACCTCCGCCGACTCGGCCTGCTTCGCCGGCAGCTTTTCCACGATGTCTCCGGCAGTCATGCTGCTAAAAATGGGGGATTTATCCGTATGACGAGTGAAGGCGCGAAAAGAGCGAGCAAACAAGACGCAAAAAAACAAGTATAAACGTTCTCCTAGCAGACTAGTTAACAAAGTGCAAAAAATTCATGAGCCTAGCCAAAAAAGGCCGAAATTCACACATAAAGGTTTGCGAAAATGAGGCAGTTAGAAAATGCCGCACGGTTCCTACGCTTGTAATAATGCAATTAGAAGTATCTAGGGCTTAAAATACGTTACTCGTTGATAACTTAAAGCAAGTATTGCCGTGCGAACCGTGCGACATTTCCTAGTGATGAAAAACATCAACAGATACACTCTAAAATCAACAAAACGATAAAAAAGGTATAATGGGGCCTAATATATTCTATTAAAACTCTATTATTCCAGTTTCTTCTCTTCCAAATTGGCTTCCACGGCCTTTGGCGCAACGGCGCGCATCAACAACTTTTCAATTCGTCGGTGGACACCGTTTTCTTGCTGGATTCCAGTCGTAACGTGTCGCCGAACATTTCCTTCATTTGCGCCCCAAATTGGCGTGGCGTGTTGACGCTGAGCAGCCACGAGACGCCGACGACGGCCAGGGTGAATCCGGAGACGGTGATACATGTGGCCAGGGCGAGGGCGCGTGTCGCGAAGCCGACCCCGGAAAAGACTTCGGCTTGTTTGAGGTGCTTGGCCTCCTCGAAGCGGCTGTACTTCCACGCCGATCTCAAGCCGGCGGCCAGCGTGACGAATGCTGTCCCCGCCACGGTGCCCTTCACGATGTTGCTGGCGGTGCTGGTGCCTGGTCGCTCGTCATCCTGGGCGGCGGAGGTTGAGGTGGATTGACGCTCGGACATCGAGCCTGAAAAAGTGATGTATTTAGAGGTTTTACAAACTCGAGAGTTGTAACAAATGAAATGCAACCTAATAAATAAAAAGGAATCGGTGCTTTTGCATTATTGGGGGGAGAAACTTTTTTCCTCAGGATTTAATCTTTCGAATATAAATACCGATTTATTTCCCTAATTTTGTGTCGTTTTTACGCTTTCTAAAGTACAGCAGGTGCTTTAAATCATGCTCGCTGACGGTAAGAGTCAATTGAAAGGTTCTACTACAGCAAATATTGTTTCGAAACAAGAAATAATCAATAAAAATGAAACCCGTTTTGAGGGCTATTTTGAACGTCTTGCGCCCAAAGTCATGGCTCCAACGCTGTAACCCGGCCAGGTCGTCATCGAGCTTTATTTAAACTACCATTTTTATACATTAAAAAAATTCAAAAACTACATTGATTTACTGTAATAAAACAACCTTTTCGCGTTAGCCGATGAAAAAAGTCGGCCCTGTCGATGCGCGCATTCTATCGGAGTGTCGATAGGTTTGGGTCGTACTCCGATTCGAATCTCAAAAATCTTCAACTTCAAAGCTTTTATTTTGTTTTGTAAATGTTTTTTTACAAATTTTGAGCGTAATCTGGAAAATATCGATATTTTAGGCTAGCCCCGTGCGTTGCGACGCTCCACACGGATGGCGACCCATAAAGAATGGGAGGTGAGAGCTTTGAAAAATTCGAACGTAAAGTTTTCATAGAAATTAGTTATTAAAATTTATTTTAGAAACACACCGCCGTTTTCACGGCCGTGCGCCGAGGATCGTTGATGCAGGAGCTCGACAAATTCAGCGACGACCAGCTGCAACCCTTCCTGCCCCTGTTGGTGTCGTCGAAATTCGGGCCGAATTCGAGCAGCGTTGCGGTGAGGGTTTTTTTTGATGATGTAGAAGAGAAAAAGTATGAAACGAAGATGTAATGAAGCTTCATCTGCTCCTGAGCTTTGAAATGAAGGTTTTGAAAGGAAAATTGGATCTTTTCAAGTTTAAGAAAACAAAATTTGTTCTAATTTGTACTTAGAAACTTTTACTTTCCAACTAGAACTTTTAAGTTTTAAGTTTTAACGAACTACAACTTAACGATAAAACAGTGAAGATGTGAAAATTCAGCTTCTCCGAAGCCTTAAGCTTTTAAAACAATTTATTTCGAAGTTTTAAGGAACAGGATTGTTGCTTAGAAACTACTTTTAAACTGAAACTTTTAACTTTTAAAGACTTTAAACTTACTTTAAACTTTTATTAAGCTACTTTTACTAAAAAAAACCGAGTTTTTTAATTAATTTTCATATTTCAGCCCGAGCTCTTCGCGCGCTTGACGACCTTCTCGCGCGAGTCGTTCATCCTCGACTTTTTGAAGGTTGACTACACCGATGTGGCGAAACGGATCAATGGTAGCATCGAGATTTCAAGATTTTTTGCTTTTGAAGCTCATTTTCACAAATTTCATGATTTTTAGACTTCTCCAACTACAACACCACCTCGAAGAGCCCGGCCGACAAGTACGTCTACTACGTGTCGAAGCTGCTGCGCACGGGTTTGTTGCGATGCAAAAAAAGGTTGGAAGTTTTTAGAAATCGTCGATTCCAATCTGCATCAATGGGTCGGCGACAGCGAGCTGCCGATGGCGACCTTGTTGCTGTCGTTGGCGATTTTGCACATGCCATGTAGGTTTTGAGGTTTATTTTCTACGTTTGTATGTGTTTTTTTTTTTGAAAAGTGTCGATTTTCAGCTGTCGTGAGGACGTCGTTGGTCGTCAACCGGTTGCTGTCGATCCAAAACGGGCCGCAGATTTTGGCGGAGGTGGGGGAAATTTTGGTTATATAGTTCCGAAAGGCTTGAAGAGTTTTTAATCTAGCAAATCATTTTAATGAGTTAGATTGAATAACAACCAAGTTTGTATCGTTTAAAAAATATAAAAAATTGCTTTTTAGATAGCTTGTAACGTCCCTTCCGAGATCGACCTCATCATCCAGGCGCTTTTGACGGTATTTAAAACTGTATTTTTAAACAGTTTTTGTGTTTTAGAAAGTGACGCCCGAGGACACGCCAAAGGGCAAGAATCGCGAGCAAATGTTGATGAATGTGGGTTTTAATCATTATTATTATATTTTATTTTACAAAGTTTTATGAAAATATCTAAAATAATTGTTTATTTTTTTAGTTACTCTCCCTGTGCCCGGTGCTGATCACCGATCGCGTCTTGGCCAAGTTGACGGAGCACAAGCGCGATGCCGCCCTAGCTGCCCGGCTTTGCGCACTAATAGTATGTTCTAGAAATAAATTTTATTAAAATTAATTGAGGGCTCCGACACGCAATTCGTGAGGTTCATGTCGTCCCACCTGACCGACAACACCTCGCCGGTCCACATCGTCATCAGAAGGTCAAAAATACTCGATTTTCGAGCAAATCAGTGTTTTCAGAAGCGCCCAAAAACCGCACGTTGTCGCCCCGATTCTACAGCGAACTTTTGCAATCCTGAGGAAGCTGGTGGAAAGGTCGGCTTTTTTATACTTGAAGATATAGTATATACCATTTTTATAGTGTTTTTGATAAAATTTATCATATTTCCAGCGGAAAAGTCTTTTTAAAAACCAAAACGGAAACTTGGAAAATTGGTCGAATTTTTTTGGTTCTCGATTTTAAATATATTTATTCAGCAAAAACCATGAGCCGAACCCGGAATTTATCATGGCCTTGGCCCAGCTGAAGATTCTTTGTCAAGGCAAGCCGAGTCGCGAGGATCTGGACCTACTCCAGCAGTACTTGACGTTTAAAGTGAGTTTAAGTTTGTTAGATGGAAGATGATTTTTTACAGATTCCAGTCCACGCGCATACGCACGCCGCGCTCTGCGCGCTGCTGTCCATCACCTCGCTGACGAGGTTGGTTTTTTCTAAAATTTTTAGATACCTAAACTTCAACTTAGAAAATAGATCGTATTTTGCAGGATTTTGTTTTTTTTTAATAAGACCAAACTAGTCATAATAACGCGAACATTACAACTTTTGAAAAATGCGTGTTTTTAATGCCTTCAATATTTTGTTGTAAATTTTGAAACTTAGGAAGCTAATAAAGTTGGGATTTTTTGATTGATTAGAAAATTTAGATTTTTTAAATTGAATTTTTTATCTCCCCTTTTTAGCGCCCAACAATCGACGCCAAACGCGCCGACGCCGCACAACGAGCAGCGCTGGATGGTCGACTACCTGCAGTGGCTGAAGGCCGAGGCCCACGCCAGTCACAGGCGTCAAGGTAATTTTAATGTAGAGAAATTTGGTGACTTTCCGTTAAATTAAAACTTGTATTTAATTTGGATAAATTGGATAACATGCGATTTTAATTTTTATTGATTTTTTACAGACTCAACGTTCCACTCGATCCTGATCGCTGCGCTGTGCGTGTGGACGGGTCGTGTCGACGAGATCAACCGATTTCTGGGCTCTTCGCTGTCTTGCAAGGTGAGGGACGACTTTTTTGGATTTAAATCTGTTCCTTTTTTAGGTCGCCATCACCTCACGTCACTTCCAAGCGATTCGCGCCCTTCTCCTGTCCGTGCTGCCGGAGAAGGAGCTCGTGCTCCTCTGCGTCGACCTACCGGTTACGATAGGTAATTCAAATAGCACGGGGTGATTGGAAGCTCGTTTTTTCCAGATCTCCACGACTCGCACGAGTCCTCGGAGCCGCTTCCGATTCTGTGGATCTCGGATCTGCTGTCGCAGAAGGTGTTCCAGAAGTACAACGTCGACGTCGGGGTCCGTTTCGTTTTTTTTGTGTTTTGTAGATGGATTCAAAATCGACCATTTTTGGACGAAAAATCGATTTTTGGTTTTTTATGCAATTTTATAAAGATTTCACATTTAGGAATTGCCAAAAACAGTTTAGAGAAAATGTCACAATTTACTTTTAGTTTTTATCTTGGTTTTCGTAGTTTGTACTTTGTTTTTTTCCAGAGCTGGATAGGACGTCAAATTTCGGCAGCCGCACTTCCAACAAGCGCCGTGCTCATCGAGGTCATCGAGAGGTGAGGAACGGGTTTTTTTAATGTCGATTCGGAGATCAGAAAAAAACCCGTAAACGCAAAAAATACAAGTAGAACCCTTTATTCACGCCAGGTCTATGTAAAAAAGCACGCATTAATGGGAGGGGCATGCGATCGATTATTGTCGAACAGTCGCCGACTTCCACCACGGGAACAGGTCGGCGCACGGGGGCTCGTCGTCGGATTGGAAGATGTTGCCGTATCTCT